ACCACCCAAGTTTTGAAGTATGTGCGGGCATGACCAGGGAGCTTAAACTCCTTAAACTGTGCGTGGGCGTACAATTCCAACTGTTTTGCAATGACTTCATCCCGTGGTCTCCTATTGCTGGCACTGAGAGGCTTTGCCTCAGCACTGACAGGTTGCAAAGCAATGAAACGCGAATTGTTGTGTGATGCAGAACCAAGGCAGGTGTTATGATGGCACGTACCAGCGTAGGTTTGCAGAATCTGAGATGTGACGGAGGCGTTTGCTGTGACGTAAGTTTGGGTCAATATCTGAGCTTGCGCAGCACCGCAGGGCGGGCAGGCCCTTTTCTCTACAGCTTGGTACTTGCTGTCAGATGCACTTTGAAAAGCAGCTTCTGATGAAGCCATCAGCGCAGCTCCTCGTGTTGTGCTTTTGTTGAAGTTGGCAGCTACACGGCATGCGGCTTGCTTGCGCCTGCTCAGGATTGTTTTGGCAGTCGAAGTTCTTGCTAAGAGACTGGGGGAGCCAAAGTTCAAACAAATGCTCCGAGAGGCCGATGCATCTGTCAGGGCTCTATCCTGCCCTGGTTCAAATGACATTGTATTCCTTGTGCACTTTCCGCGGAAGCTCTCTATTACATGTACGGCCCAGTAAGCTTCAATCAATTTCACAGATCACGGCTTGATTTGGCAGGTCTTCTTTGGAGGCGAGGAGCGAATTAAGAATCTCACAGCCTGGTTTGCAGCCAAGAAAAGCGACTCTTGCTTACAAATCCCTATCAGTGTAGCAGGAAAGTCCGGGGGCTGCGAACAGCAGCTTTGAAATGAAGTACATCAGTACCCTTTGAATCCCGAAGCTAAGGAAGGAGCCTGCTTCGCGATCATTACGGCCGGTGTAGCTAGCTCTGTATCGATGGCGCTGGAAGCCGTTCCGGAATGGGTCGCTTGTCGCAGAGCTTGACTATGCCTTCCATCAGCGAGTGCTGGATAGACCCAGCTGAGACTGTTGTGTCTGAAGGGCAGTGCTGGCCGGTGCTACCTGTCCAGGACAAGTTCTTTCCCACAGACTTGGTGCTTGATGTTTCAGCCTGCCGCCACCAAGCCGCTCGAGGGAACAGAAGCAGTCAAGAAGGCAGAATAAGCTCATGCACAATTATATGCAATTATACATTTTGCAGATGACAATGAGCTAGCACTCTTTCCTTGTAGATTGTTGACGGTGGAACTGGCCGATGTTAGCTGCAATGTGCCTGAGTATGGTTTTTGGAACCGATTACCTGTGATGTGTGCAGGGCACGGGCTGTGTGTGGTTAGAGTTATTGAGATTACAGCTATGATGTGCCGCACCTTAGCCTGGCTCAGGTGATGTCCATCACAGGACAGAAGGCGCTGATGCTTCGGGATCTTCGTCGTTCTGCGCCAAGGCAATGGTTGCTATGGTGCTGCTGTTGTTGTTGTTGTTGTTGTTGGTTGTTGGTTGTTGGTTGTTGGTTGTTGGTTGTTGGTTGTTGGTTGTGGTTGTTGTTGTTGTTGTTGTTGTTGTTGTTGTTGTTGTTGATAATGTTTGTCATTCTTGCTCAAGATGTCGGGCTCGTATATGACGCACAATGACTGTATGAGCTGAGATATCAACTTCTGTCACTGGGTGGGCGCCAGCGGGTTTCTACTTGTGTCAGTTTCTTTCCCGCTCGCAATGAGAAGCTATGCCGTGGAGCGCATGCTCAGCCATACCGCTTGCTCGCGGCTGCCATTGAGCCCTGCGCAGGGTTCTCCTGGTAGACGACTCTCTGGGCGCATAGCTCAGAATTTTGACTTTCCAGGCTGACGTGACCACCAGTTGACCTGGGGACGAACTCGAGAAACCCTTCTGCGCTGCAGCAATCAACCCCCCCGACATGGCATTCTCTCATTCTCTCCAAGCATCTACTGCCAAAGGTTCATTTCTGGGGTTTCAGAAATAGTGTGCAATGTGGATGGGGGGCTTGGGGTCATCAGCTGTGGGCATCGGATTAGTCCGCGCTTGGGCCCTTCCTGGGCGGGTGGTTCAGACAGCTGAGAAATGCCTCGTACATGAGTAGATATTCAGAATCTTGCGTGCAGAGCTGAGGTGAAGACCCGCCTCCGGCATGGTTCTCGTCTCAGTGGTAGTTACATCTGACTGACCTCAGGGTTGGCAGGTTGGCTTTGCATTTCTTTTGGTTCCCACTGCGGGAAAAAGCATAGCGATTAGATGACGGGACAACAAGCCGAGCAGGGCACACAAAAGCTTGCCAAGGGTGTTGCGACGCAGCCAGGCCAGGCTGAGCATGTAACTTGCGCGCAAAACATTCGAAGCGCTTTTGCGGAGGTGCTGCCGGTTGCTTTGCCTTACGAGGGCCAGGGTCTTGACGATGACTCTCTGGCTCGAAGCTGAGTCCGCCCGCGTGGTCATGACTTAGTCTTCCAGTGCAGTCTCTACTGCACAAACCTGTGTTCGTACTTTCAGTGAGAGTTCCAGACGTGTAGACGTTCCTCTGACCAGGCGCTGCCGTCAATTTGAACAACAAAGCAAAATCGGGGGTGCAAATCATGGTCTGCCGAATATGCTGGGGTTTGGTCGCCTCTGGCTACATCAAAGGTTTGGCTTCATCAGACCTCCCCATCACCTCGATATTTCTCAAGATCAGATCAGAGATGAGGCAAGAGTCGATGCAGCGCTGGCCACGAGCTGATGCCACAGCCTCAGATCTCTTCCAACAAGTCTCTTGCACCTGTGGGTTATGGTGATCAGACCTGCTATGACCTGCTGTAGCAGATCAGTAGAAACTCTCTTGCAATGTTGACTGTTGGTTCCACAATTTGTGCCCAAGCTGCATAACATCCAGAATTCGGAAGCTATAGACGTAGAAGTTACCAGAGATAGGCCAGGTTGGCTTGAAATGTGTAGTTGAGGGTTCAGGACTATCTCAGGCTTGTTCATCTCCTTGCTGATAGGCCTCGCCGTGAGCTGTGAGGAAAAAACAGCGCTGGCGGACTTCTTGTTCAGAAGGTGTTCAGATTTTGCTAGAGTCGGAAACAGCCACGAACGTTCAGTGACGCTGGACATGTAACTAGACACATGTACCGCTTCAGGTGCGAGAGACGACCTCCAACCCAACTCTGCCGAAACGGAGTCCAGATGCCCACATAAGGCCATGCTGGCATGATGTGTCTTTGCTGACGCTCTTGCGGCACGTGGAGTGTTCCGAAATCAAGGCTTCCTGCGTTGGGTCTCCTGGAAGACGTGCTCTTTTCACCTCCAAGATGGCTCTGCAGTTCGGTACTGTGCATGGCATGCACTTCTAATCTCCCTGCGCGTCTGCCAGGCACACAGCCTTCTCGATGATCAGTGCCTTTGCCTGTACAGTCGGCACTACTGGAACCTGCAGGCGTAGGAACAAGACTAGAGACCCAGCATGCGATGCTGAAACGCCGTGGTGCGTGAATGGTTGACACGTTATACATTCGAAATGCGCCTTAAAACAGTACTGCGGGAGGTCTAGTCTAGCCAGAACCTGTCATGCAGGTTCCTTGACCCTTACCCTCACATGCCAACCCTTCGAAGACAACACCGGCCAAGATTCCTTGAAGTAGCCAGCTTCTAGACTTTTGAAGTGTTTGAAATGCAGCGTCGGTGCATGGCCCTGGTCGCACGCGGCTCAAGCCATTGTGGCAGTTTGCCAAGCTTCGCGTCATTCCTTTTGCTGCTAAAAGATTGACCAGAAAGGAGCATCTGACGTTCTCTGTGGGCGCTAATTAGTTGCCATCATTCATAGACGACACTACTACAAGCGGTTGCACCTCATGCAAGTCAACACAGTGCCATGTCGTGGAGCGGCTGGTCCTGGCAGCAGCAGTCCTGGGGGACCCTGCCAGACATGCAGCCAACGCAACCAGATACGCACTGCTACAATGCTTTACTCAGCATCCCTCTTTCATGCTTGCTTTTCTACGAAACCACAACATCCGAAGGTCAATGGAGGGAAGTAAAGCAGGAGATCTTCAACTCCCATACTGAGAACTGGCGTCCGCAAGCTTGCGTCGACGTGGATTTCGCGTCTGTCCAACTGGCAGGAGCAACAACTGGTGGTCGCGGCCGTCTGAGCCGCAGCCCTACTGATTTTGGCCATTTCACACCGTGCTAACACTTTCACGACTTTGAAATATGCAAAGGGCGAGCTCCTTAGTGCAGCTACGTGAGGATTTTGGTCCGTCTGCCGCGGTACATGGCCAGATCAGCACCACGGTTTCACAAGAGTAAGGTATGATGACTGGTGGTCCCAGTCGAAAGCTGCAGAGCAGCTTGGACAGAGGTGCAATTCTGGATCAATCCTTGTCACACTTTGCATCCGGTTGCACCCATTTACGGTGCAAACGTGACAAGGGTACCTCCTCGAGATGACCAGCAGGGCAAGGCCCTTGCGCTACAGGACCTGGCCTGCCTCCAATGTTTTCACATGGTTTGCTAGATTGCGTCGAGGGGGCAATGCGTTTGCCAGGATGGTCCTTTGGCGACTACAGGTCTTGGGGCAAGGTCCACCGCTAGCAAGCTTTCTGCACTTGTGCTTCTCGATTTTCATCGTTTCCCAAATGGTCCTGCATGAATGATTTTGCGCCCATACAGGCCCGAGTTTGTGCGGCCGGCACCAGAGTCAGCAGAGACTTCAATGATTTTTGCTGAGCAAGCGTTGGTGGTAGCAATGCCTCAGTTGCTCGTATCAATCACTCCTTTCCCTTATGGTATGCAGCGCACATGGTCACATCACTAGCATGTAGCAGACATGCTGTGTGGAGTCACTGCGGACGGCAAGAATCCATAGTGGGAGCCAGCACTTTCACCATTTGATACAAATTTGTTGGTTGCATTCGCTTGTTGCCAATGTGCGGCTTCCATCCGGGCTGGCAGTCAGCAGATTATGGGAGTGTCCAAATTGCCATAGTCACTGCCGAGCGATTTGATGTGACTTGTTGACCTCTCAAGACAGGATAGGAAAGTTGCTCAGCATGGAGCGGTACAAAGATGACAGGAGCTTGCTGCCAGCCGATGGAGCGGCTCTTACAAGCACGCCCGCAGCACAGACTTCACCACTGCTGCCTGACGGCATCGGAGGAGAGCCCAAACTGAATCTGCAATCGATCCAGCAGAAGCTGCTCTTTGGATGAGGCTTTTCAAGCCACCAGTTCCGGCGACGACCGATCGGACAGAGGGTTGAAGGGGGCCCACATACAGTACGTAATCTTAAAGACATTGCGTACAAGCTAGCTTTGTTCTCAGGCGGTGAAGCTTGCAGGGGAGGGTTGTGAATCAATAATTCCAGGACGCTCAAAGAGCTTCCATCTGCGGATGCGCTTATTGAGCTTCTCGTTTGCAAACCGGTGGACAGAACCAGTGCTCCTGGTTTTGGGCATCCAGGCCAGCCATGGAGGAGTGGTGGCTGGGCGTCGACGATGCCACGAGGCAGCGGCTGACGGTGCCCTAGCAGAATTTACGCTCAACAGTCAAGGCTTTGTCCAGCATCTTTGAGGTGCCGAGAGCCTGATGGATGCTTGCACCTGGACCAAGGACGAGTTACACAATTGGCTGCGGTGTATATGCCCTAGCTTTACCTGCTACTTCCAAACCATGGAGGAGAACTATGCCCAATCCTCAGCTTTGAGCCATGATTGGTGTTACTTGGTTACCTTTCCTTGGACATGTTTTGTCCTACACCAATGAGGTCAAACCTCAGCCAGTCTTCAGGAAAAAACCTGGGGCTGAAAAGTGGTTGCACTTGTTGGGTTTGGGACGTAGGGGAAAAGCCAGGATCAAACTTAAGCACCGTTGCCGCGCCGGCGCGCCGCTTTCAAGCCAAGCCGCACGGATGATCATGGGTAACCTAATGCCGCGCAGCCTTTGCATGACCTTGACATCTGTAGGAAAAAGCCAGAGTCAAGGATTTCAGCAGGCGTTTTTTCGTTTCACGTAGGCTAAGGACAGCAAGGAAACTCGAATGTTACTTGTCGCAGAAGCTCCAAATCAGCAGTTGTTTTCTTTTTCCTTATGCTAGTCTTCCGATGCTGTGTTGGCGACAAAACTTGAGATCAATCCTAAGATGTGCGCCGGACTGTGGCCGCGGAAGGTTCGTGGAAGGGGATGGCTTCGCGGAAGGGTCGCGGAAGGTTCATGCGAAAAACGAACACGGATCAGATGGCTCAGAAGACTGCGAATATGGTGGTTGTAGGGTTGAGAGATTCTCAACATTACAGGTCTGCTATGAGAGAAGTACGTAAGGGAGCGGAAATGTGGGATGGAAGCACGAGCGCTACCAGCAAGACACATGATGCAGGTCGGTTTTTGAAACTCGGGACAGGAATTTCGCGGAAGACGAGTCAATTTTCAAGCCCATGGGCCGGGTAGCGTTACGACTGCTAAAGGCTGCCAGCAGGAAATGGCAGAAGCTCGTTGCCTTGATGCCTCAAGAGGACGACGGAAATTCCATGAGTAGCAGATACTTTGCGGAGGCAAAAAGGTTCGCGGAAGGTTCGTGGAAGCAACAATTTGCAAGATGTTAAAGAACTGAGGCCGCTCTGGGCCGTGGAAGTACGCGGAAGGGTTTTGCGGAAGGTTTTTTTGCGTCATAAGGGTTTAAACACATTGAAAACACCGCTCAAGTGAACAGCCAAGCTGCAAAAAACACTGGATGTGGGAAGATGGCAGAAGATGCGTGACACTCCTCTAGGAGCTGGCGGGTTAGTTTTACCAGGCTTGCAGCGACAGTTCTTTCTGCTTTGGCATGGGCTGGCATTGTACAGGCTTGGGTGCACTGTGAAGGCAAAGTACAGAATCATGGCAATGACTTAGGCAGATTGGGGTGGCTCCGTGGTTTGTGTTAGTCTTTCTCTCCATGGCCATGTATTGGCGAGGTGCTCCTTGAAACTCACACTCCCCAATCAAAATCCAGCACATGCAGCTACTCGCTAGAACCTGTGACAGGTAACAAGTAGCCACTCGTTTTGCAGGGAACCACACGTTGATTTGTTAGCCAGCCTGCAATATCTGTCAACTTGAGGGGTGCCTCCTCTTCATACAAGCTTGAAACAGCAAGACTGCCTTGCCCTTTGCTAAGGACACGGTAGATCAGATTTGTCGGCTGTATTTGGTCGAGGAGACTGACACGATGCGTTTGTGGTCTTCGAGTACCATAAGATTTTGGTGGCATTGTTGTGACAGCATCTTGCAGCACAGCGCAAGGCGAAAGTATGAATCTGATTGAAACCAGCCGTGTCATTATCACGTGCCTGATTTAGGGGAAGTGGGGGAGCGGGCAATCTCAGCGAGCTTTGTCACTGTGTTTGCTGACTTCCGACCTGTGTGGCCACCGCTGCTGATGGAGGAGGAAGACGGAGAGCGTAAGCCCGAGAAGCGGCTGGACCCGCTGTTTTTCGAGGACAATAAGATTAGCGATCCAGAGCATCAACGCCTGTGACTCGACCAGAGATGCTTCCCTGTCGCTATGTTTGTCATCCTTACTGAGTAGCTGCTTCAGTTTCTGAGCATGCCACTGGCTGCATCTTTCTGAAAGCGTGAGGGCTAGCTTGTGACATGAGAGGGAGAGAGAGAGAGAGAGAGAGAGAGAGAGAGCCTTGCAGTGAGACGCAGGAAGGAGTGATGGATTCTGTATGGGTTCGATCGGCAGTAAGGGAAAATCACTCTTTAACCTTCCTCGGCTCCTTTTTCTCCGGAGGTAGGAAACCCGACCATTTTCCGGCAAAAGAGGAGAAGTGTACCGGATAGGGAGGGGGGGACGGGTAGAAGAAGAAGATTGGTTCTCCTTTGTAACATCCGGTGAACACGAGAGCCTCATTGCGACGCTTGACTGAACCTCGTGGGCTGGGGGTTCGCCCCCGCAGCATCTCTGATGCTGCATAGCCTGTGGAAGAAGAAGAAGAGAACCTTGCACCTGAAGAAGAAGAGAGCGAGAGAGAGAGAGAGAGAGAGACAAGCATCTTCGCGACCCTGTACATGCTCGGTAGCCGGGACCTGGGGTGGAATCGAGACCGAACCTGCCTGCTTGGGGCCGTGCCCCAGCCCCTCTCCCAGGAGGGGGGTGGAGCAGTGAGAAGAAGAAGAAGAAGAAGAAGAGAGAGAGAGAGCGGGGAGAAGAAGGGGGAGGGGATCGTCAAACGGCGTGTCCTTCGAAACATCTTCTCCCACAAGGAAGCTGTGCCTGGGGCGGAGCCCCAGCGAGACCCTGGTTCGCCAGGACGTGCATGGCACGAAGAAGAAAGTGCCCGTAGCCATTTTGGCTCAAGTCTCTGTACCTGCTGTCTTTCCCACCTTGTGTGGGGGCGGCGCCGGCAGCGGCCCTGCACCTCGCTCGAGAGTTGCCTCGGGTGGGGCCCAGGGTGGACGTCTGTCAGCGGGGGGGGGCTTGGGCATACGCCGCAGCCGCGAATAGACAGGGTTCTTCTCTGATACCCCATCGTAGCGGCTGACCACGGGGGTGCTCTCCTGATCATAGCTCCCGCCAAGTGCTGTGCCAGCCTGTGCCACTAGACGCTCGAGGGTGATTGGTGGGCCCAACGCTTTGCGACTTCCTCCCGGACGCTCTCCGTGAGTACATCGTAAAGCTCGCACCCCCACGGCAAGTTCGAAAGAAGATCAGGTGCCCCGACCTGGTCCCCTGTACGCGGACATGACGACAAATGACCCCCGCCCGTAGAGTGGCTGCAGGAACGCCGCTGGGAGATGTACAGCTTTTCTGAGATCGCTGAGACATAAATGAGACCAGGATTACTAACGATGACCCGGAACAGCCCGAACCACTGAGAGTTTTTTTGAAGGATGAAGATTGAATTCAGCATGCACGCCAGCAAGTGGGGGACGAAGCTTTCTTACGAGGCTGGCAAACCGAGACCAACCCGAACCATGCAATCCGTAGACCCCGCTGGTCATGTGATTATGTGTCCTTTTTGGTTGTTTCTTTAGTGGTCTGTTGCCTCAAGAACCTGACAGTGGGAGACGGGGAATTATAGCCGAAGTCGGAACCTTGCACGGTGTAAACTGGAGTGGTAGAAGAACGATGTCAAAAATGTACATGAAAGGAGTGAGTAGGGGGCACGGGAAGTGTGTTTGAAAAGGCAGTGAGATGCAGGGGCAAATTGGAGAGAATGCGGCTGTCTCTTTAATCTATGGGGTGCGCTTTTGAGGGGAGTTCCGGGGATCTCCATTTGCTAGCCTTACCTCGGCCAGAGTTCTCCAAGGTTCACTGGACCATTTTCCTCTGGGTTTTGGAAACGTGCGTTGGATAATAGGGATGAATAGAAAAAGGGGGAGAAGACGGGCGGGGGGGAGCGATTATGATCCAGCGAACATCGATCCACCCAATGCCAAAACAGAACGTTACGCGAGCGTGCGGCTCGGGGATGTCCCCCGGGGCAAGAGCTTCAGCAAGCAGGGGTGTATACTTTGCCGATTCGCGAGTATATTTCCCCCGAACACCTATGTGACTACGGTCACGGGTGCATGGTTACAGATTGGCAACAAATCTATCCCAACCGCAAGAAATCGAAATTCTTTGCGATGCGGACTCCCGAAACTGCAAGACGCGGTCCAGAAATCAAGGGCACCCAAAAGAAGGAGTCTGCCGTAAGGGCACTCTATAGCCGGGAGAGGAAGAAGAGTGCCCGTAGAAGAAGAAGAGAATGCTAGGGTGGAGAAGTGTCAAGCGAGTAATTTGGGTGAAGGCGTGCATCCGCAACACCAAAGAGCCACTGGGCGACAACTTGCTAAGACCTCAACGGGGGGTGAGGCGCCCGAAAGTGGTAGTCATGCTGTGCACCATCTTTACCCCAGGACACGCTTAAACCCTCCACCATGGTCTAGGTGACTATCCGTGCGCTAACTTGCCAGCGGTGCAAATGAGCTTTCCTGATACCTTAGGCACCTGTAGCGAGTAAAACCTGAGCAAGCTCACGCGGAGTACTTGGGGCCGCCGTCATGTGCCTCGAAGAGAGATTGCAGAAAGCTGACAGTGGATAGGCTATGGTTCGACGATGGTTGGGCTTCATTCAGGGGAGGTTCGTAGCAGGTAGCAAGGGGGAGGGAATGCTGATGTCCGCAGCGGCACTGCAGCCAGCTTCGACTATGCCGTTGCCCAACGGGGATCTCTTTCTCTAGCTGTTTGCTGTGTAGTTCTGTGCTAGGAAGCCTGGTGTAGCATGAGGAGCCGAATGACATAGAGACAGGGGAAGCACCTGAGTACAGAACCTGTGGAGCGGTTGGGATTGAGAACTTGGGGTGAAGGGTGTATGAGTGTTCCTGGGTAGAGGGTGTAGGAGTGAGCCGTTTCAGTGCAGATGTGGGTGCTTCTCCTGAGCTAAGTGTCGCAGCTAGCCTGAGAAAGAGGGAGCTGAGTTTTATCTGCTCGGGATTTGGGTTGAACCAGCTGCCTGAATGAACCTCTTGGACTCGGTAGTCCCGACCCTGACTTGGCGGACATTCGAGGACTCGGGGTTGTGCCCCGGCTCACCCGCAAGGGGTGGGCTTGGCCCGCAGAAAAAAAGAGAGAGTTGGCCAATGGATACGTGTAGCTATGTTAGTGCTTGCGGATGTATTCCGGTCTTGGTTATGGGCGGCACCTCGGGCCGCCTGGGTGGGAACACGACATTGCGCAATGCTTGGGCTTGGGACAGTGCCCCGGGGTAGGCATCCGCCTCCCTTAAAGCCCCGAAAGAAAGACAGAAAGAGAGTTGGCCACCAGATTGCAAAAAACGGATGGTGGGATCGAGGCTGGCGCAGCCCTCAGAAGGATTCTAGAGTTTCTGCATGGCCATGGATATTGAAAGAGGCACGACAGGAAAACGATTCTGGAAAATGCAGCGGTGGTAAAACAGTCGTTGTATGAAGGAACAGCGCTCAGGTTTATCGTTGACATCGCACAAAGTTGCGTGAGGTAAGGAAGACAGAAACCAAAGTGAAAGGGAATTAAGGCAAGGAACTGGGGAACCAATCGACCAAAAGAGTTGATGGGCGTGATCAGAATTTTCGTACAGGACAATGCAACTTGGGAAGCCCTGAATCGACGGCAACTATTGGAGCTGATCATTGGCAGTATAGGGCTCTTTGGTTGATTGTCTTTTATTCGAAGAGGGGATGTATATAGTCAATTAAGACAGTGGAGCACCAGAGTGATTGGTGAGGCAGTGAGATGCAGGGGCGAATGGTGAATGTAGTTTGATTTAGGGGAACTTAAATCATTCGCCAACCTTCTCCTCGGCGTAATAGGGGCATGTCAGCAGGGAGGACAGACATCTGAAGGACGCCGGCAACTAGGGGGTTGGGGATTTGGGGGAGAAGAAGAAGCGGGGAGTACAGTTTCCAAAAGTGTCCTTTGACAGGCAAATAACGTGACCCTGATTTCTTTCTTGGACAGGGGCAGTTGCTTGGGGCCTAGCCCCGCGCGGACCTTCGGCGCATAGCACATAGAAGAGAAAGAAGAGAGAGATGTAGCCAACAACATCCTCGGGTCGAGATCCCAAACAATTTCAAGGCAGCGAAACGCAGGTTCGCCAACTTTTCCTCGTGAGTCTTTCCTCTGTGTACAGTCGTTCAGGGAAGCGCTACGGGGTATAACCCCGGTGCGCTCTATCGGGGACGCCGGCAGCGCAAATAAGAAGAAGAGAGCTAGCCAACCCAAATAGTTGCACATTTGCTCCTGTGAAATATTCTGCTTCAAGGGCTCTGCAACCAACAACAAGGTGGAAACGAGAACTAACACCCTGGAGGCCAATGCAATCGTGAATACTGGTGACGTGGAACCAACAGGCCTCGTTTCGATAAAGTTTGCTGTGGTCCTGTTTATTAATGACGTCTTCTACTTCATCGCTATTGTAGGTCTCGCGATGTCTCGCGTCCCAACTCAGAACAGGATCGCCGAAACAAAGCAGAATGTAACAATTTTGGCTCAAGTCTTCCTCCTGCGGGGGGGAGCTGCTCATCGCCGGCCCTTCGGGGGGGTAATATCCGTTCCTTTGAGGGTGGACGTGCGTTGAGTGCAGGGACCTTCAGGCCCCATCGTCGTTGCCATTCTTCAGACAAGCCTCGAGGGAAGGTGCCTCTCTGCGAGGCTAGGGATGCTTACTCAGCGCAGGCACGGGAGATGGAAGCAACAGTGCCAGAGCCCCCCGCGCGGAAACGGTCCGAGGGGAGATCCTGATCAACTTGATTAAGCCATGTTTCTCAGGAGAGTTCAGGAAATTGGCTTTTGCGGTGACCAATTTTGCTACGAGTTTTCTCTGTGTGTTTGAAGGAGTTGTTTCTCTGTCACCTGGTACACCCCATGGGAGTCAACTGCATTAAGACTTCAGTGACGTCTAATTCAGCCATGGCCGAGTGCGGAATTGATCACAGGACGAGCAACCTGGAGTGGAGCGCGAAGCAGCATAAGAGCGCAAGACAGTTTTTGGCACTTAGAAGGCGGGAGAGGCCGCATTGCACGAAGGACAAAAAGGAGCAGGTGCAAGCCTTGGGCGAGGCAGACGGATGGACAACCGGAATGGGAGAACCAACGACGGCAGCTACTTGGCAGAACACAGGCTGTGGCATAGCGAGTGGGGAAAACAACGGTACGGATGGGGCGAAGCGACACGACCGATATTGCTGGAGCTGCAAGCAGCAGTAGCCATGCAAGAGTAGGAGAGCAGCATGGAGAGAAGGAACACAACCTCCAGGAAAAGAGCAAAGATAGATGCCATGATGGGAAGCGGAGCGGCGCATGACTATGTGCAACAGTTCCTGGGGGGTAGCCAACCCACCGAGAGCGGAAGAGGCCTGCCGAGTGAGCCGAAGGGCGAGAGGTAAGGAATGTGAAGTGAAGTTGAAAAATGAGGTACGGAATCAAACTAAGCTCCGACATCAGCAATCCAGGTAAGGCACACGATCCAAGCGTGAATAAATTAAGTGCATGCCAGGTAACGCGCACGATCCAAACGTGAGTGAAGTAACTGCATGTCACAGTCCGAGGGCGAAGATCTCGGGGCAGGCGGAAATGTTTAGTCCAGATAGGCGCAGCGATCCAATGCATGGAGTTGAAGGGCTAATTGGATTGGAAATTTTATTCGAACACACCGGGGGTGACCTTGCGACTGTGGAGGGCAACGCTCAGCTTAGTTCTTTCATGTGAAAAAGGCTGAACGGCTGCTGTATGACATGTGGACACCTGCAATCAAGCACCAAACTCGGGGAGCAACCTGGAGCCAGACTTCGCGACACAAGGGACGGCCCCAGGTGACCCAAGACAGAAGGGAATAGGTAGGGGTGTGTACCGCCCAGATTGTGGAGCCGCTCCGGGCACGGATCAGAAGATGGTAGAGGGACGTAGGTTGTACAGTGCCCTGACGTGTTACCCGGCTGTTGCACACGACGTCCTCGGATCGAGATCCAAGGTTTCTTCGGGGCGGTGAGATGAAGGGGTGAATGACAGAACAAGAGTAAATTAAGGGACATAAAGGCATTCACCAACCTTCTTCGCCCACATTTTAGAATCCAGATTTTCATTTCTTTGACCAGCCGAGATGTGAGGGCGAATAGCTACCAAAACATGGGGGGAGGGGGGTAGAAGAAGACTCATTCGCCAACTTTCCTCTTCATTCTTTCTTCAGTGCACAGCCGTCCAAGGAAGCGCTACGGGGTACCACCTTGGTGCGCCCCCCCGGGGACGCAAGCAACGCGTAGAAGAAGAAGAAGAAGAAGAAGAAGAAAGAAGAAGAAAAGACACACAAATCTCACTGAACAGTGCACGTGGAGGTGACAACCTTTTGTTTACTACTCCGGACCTCCTTGGCTAGCTGATGCGCGGCCATGGGGTATAACCCCAACGAGTGCCCTGGGGTGCCCGTATGGCTAGTCGAAGAAAAGACGCACAAACGCTCCGACGAGGCAAGTGCAGATGCTAGACAGGACCAGTCAGCACAATCAAGCGGGCATGCAAAAATGATATGCCAGGCTGCCAGACAGTAGGAATGGCACGCCTGTAAAACTGAATGAGACGAGTATGTTGGGGTATGGTGCCCGACACGGGAAGAGCACAGCATAAAATGAGATGAAGGTGAACGGAATGATGCCCTTCAAGCTATTCTCGCGGGAATCCATGAGCAGGCAAATGTGGGCACGTTTCTTGGGATCGGGTGGGGGAGCTTCGTTGGACAGGGCTCCCAACCCCTTCCTTTCTGTCCCCCAGAAAATTAAACAATCACCACAACATGCAATAACGGCAGCAATAGCAAGCATGTCAGGAGTGACCCTAATCCTGTATGTAAAGCAGCCCGGATGCAATCAAGTCGTTGATGTGAGGTATCTCGACCCAGGCGGTGTCAGGTCAAGCAGTTGCAGTTCATGACAGGTCCTCACTGTCTTTCTTTTGCGTTGTTGTTCACCCTCGATTGCCGCTCTTTGGTGATCTTGTTCTTGGTCCTGTCAGGAATGCATGCAAAGACACATATTTGTCCTCGACGCTCTAATGCTGGTATCGCTTTGTTGTGGTGCTGCTTGTTTTGGCGTTGTTTGGTCGTCCTTGGTTGTTCTACGGTTTTGTCTTGGTCCTGTCCGGCGGGTGGTGGTGGTGGTGGTGGTGGTGGTGGTGGTGGTGGTGGCGGCGGCGGCGGCGGCGGCGGCGGTGGCGGCGGCGGTGGTGGTGGTGTACGCAAGCTCGGACAACTCCTGACTCCGCCGTGCAGAGACCTTTCGTCCGCACTCAAAAGATCACTATGACAACTTTCTTCACCACAACGTCACATCATCCCATCACCCTGTGCAGATGATCCCGATGGGCAAGCACAGAAAACCGTGTGAACACCGTGGTGACATTTCGTCCACTCCTATGCAAATGGACCTGATGGGTGAAATCAGAGTCGATGTCTTGTTTGTGCCTCTGGTGACGGGCTGGACATCCGGTCCCTGCAATCTGGCCCCATGACGGGAAAATCCAGAGCAATACACACTCTGACGAGGCAAGTTCAGATACTCTTGAACTCTAGACAGGACAAACCCACACAAAAAAGCATGCATCAAAAAATGAATATGCCACACACTAGGAATAGCACGCCTGTAAAACTGAATGAGATGAATACGTCTGAGTACGTTGGGGTGGGGGTCCTGCCCCGCTGTGCCAGACACAGGAAGAGCACAGCATGAAATGAGATGAAGGTGAACGAAACGATGCCCTCAAGCTATTTCTGCGGGAATCCATGAGCAGGCAAATGTGGGCANNCCCCCCCCCCCCCCCCCACTCCCCTCGCAAAACAAAACAATCACAGTACAATCACCACGACATGTAGCAGCAACAACAGCCGTAGCACGCATGTCGGGAGTGACCTTATTCCTGTATGTACAACAGGTTGCACACACACACACACACACACACCCCATATTCTTTGCGCATTGTTTCCTCCATGCCCCATAGGGGGGGAACCAAGGTTTCGCCAATGGTTTGCTGAAAACCCCGACTTTCCTAGCCACGTTAGCGGCCACAGCAGCAGCAGCAGCAACAGCGGCAAGGCGATGGATACTGAAGTTGCTCCTTGTTCACAGTGTCAGTTCGTATGTACGGCTTTCTAACACCTAGACTCGCTGGACGTAAGGATGAAGCCATGTCCATGCCGACTTTGACGCCAGGCTGCCAAAGCAAAAGCAGATCCGGCCGCCGCTCCTGCCAAGGCAGAAGCAAAGCAGGCGAGTGGAGCTTAGGACGCGTCACGAAAGCCAGCTCCTTGGAGCTTGCGAGAGGTGCTGTTTACTGATATAGTCTCTTGGGACAACTTCCGGGACCACTTGGCCCGATACGTCGCTACTCTGAAACAGCTTAAACATCGGCATGCCAATCTTTCAATGCAAACTTGCAAAATCATGACTTAAAGGCATGCGCAGACATTCAAAGGAGAAACATCGATGGGGGGATCCGCAGGTGGGATGGGTCGGCTAGATCACAGCAGACAAGCCGGACAGATTTTTATTAAGCATGCTGATCGAGTGTTGCCCTAGTGGTTGTAAGTGCGCAGCGGCCAAGTAAGACACAAGAACGGGGATTGCGCATCGATTACATAGGGATAATTAAGGACATGTACGGATTCTATTCTATCAACTGGGAGTCAAATGGAGAAGAGGAAGGAATCGCCTGGTGGTTTATGAGGGTCAGGGTCCTTTACCTCTCATCGGCAGGGGATGAAGGCATGAAAGCCAGTATAGTAATTATATGGTACACGAATAGGTTCTGGAGGGACACTTGGGCAACGCCCGATCAGCAGTCGTAAAGCGAATCCAGCTCGCTTACTGTGATCTAGCTTTCGTCCGCGCTGTTGTCAAGTTCCTTTGAAGATCTCGCCGAGAGCCTCATGGCATCCTTTTCAGGCATTTGCCTCCACATCACCCCCTGCTCCTGCAGAACAAGCAGGCCAAGTTCACAGGGGTCGTCGGACCTTCTTCGCATTCGCTCGCAGTCGCAGCGCCTGAGCTGTCCCTGCCAGGTGCTGCGCGGCGTAGCCTTCAAGGCGAGGATCCCTGGACCACGGGCAAGGATCCATGGACCCGTGGCCGCTCGACCAGCGTTCGCTGAAAGGTTTTAGCTGACCCTCAGCCAAGCCTTGGGCTATCCTTTGAAGACATACTAGGGGGTCGGGTTATCTCACATCGGCTGGATTTTTTACGCATCGAGCAGCGTCCACACTGGGGGACCCAGTTCAAAACATGTACTAGACTAGATGTTATGCAAAAGCAATTCTTGCAATTCTTCTGTTTCCACAACGTCCACAGGGTTTCAGCTCATGATGCGGCATGTTTGTGTGCCTCGTTGTGTCTGTTGAGCAGTACGCGCAAAATACTTGGGTGGTTGGGGGGTTTCTATGTGAACTGATTACATTAATCGGGAAATGACAGTCTCTCATCATCCCATGTTGGGGCA